GTCTGGTCTTACTCATACTAGCAGCATTAAAATGCCCCGGAAGGGCGCTTGAGATCTTCTTCCACCAGTAAAGCTGGAAAGTCAGCGTATGACCTATACTTTGTTGGTGCGAAGTAAAATTGCTTAGTATTAGTTGGTTCCAGGAACGGTTTCGAGACTGTTTCAACAAGCTTATAGCTTCCAACACAATCGATCTAAAATAAATTTGTATAAACTAAATTTCAAATTCAAACAATCTTACATGTAGATAAGATTTATATCGGTTTTCTCTTACAGGTCAGGGTCTAAAAAATTTGCAAGTAAAAGCAATAGCACTCCTCCACCCTCATCTACCTACACTCATATTTTTAAATGATTTTCGAACTTTTACAATAATTATTATATAATTTCTCTTTCGAGTAAAAAAAATGTGTTGTTTTTTTTTACATTTTTTGTAAGGTTATTGTTTTTTCTTTACATTATTGTTATTTTATTGTTTTTTCTATACATTTTTGTTATGTTATTTTTTTCTTTACATTTTTTGTTATGTTATTGTCTTTTTCTTTACATTTTTGTTATGTTATTGTTTTTTTTATACATATTTTGTTATGCTATTGTTTTTTCCTTACATTTTTGTAATGTTATATTTTTTTTTACATTTTTGTTATGTTATGGTTTTTTCTTTACATTTTTGTTATGTTGTTTTTTTTTTAATTTACATTTTTGTTATGATATTGTTTTTTCTTTACAATTTTGTTATGTTATAAGAGCGCGTGACCGAATCAGTATAAAGTCATCTCGATGACCTTACTGTCATACTGTTGAACACCTAATCTTTATTTGTAAGCAGTGTATAGTCACTTTATTATCTAAAATTCACTCATACCAAACCTTTTGTTTATAATCACGTGCAAGGTTTTTGCGCCGCATAATAAATAAATAAATAAATAAATAACACTTAGATAAAAGTCTTGATTAAATTCATGATTGAAAATACAATAGGAAGATAATCTTCTTGAAATATTCATTTTTCTATTCCAGTCTTGTTTATATATGTCAAAAATTTTGTGTTTTTTTTTATAGAAATGAAATTATTTTTATAAGTAGTATGAGTTAATCATAAATTAGACCTCCCTTTCTATTGAACAATAGATTTAATATGGTAGGCCCAAATTTTCAACAGAAAGGTCTCCAAACTATGATATAAAAAAGAGATAGAACATCAAAAACTCATATTTAGCTTGGCGACTTTCATTATCAAACCAATCGGCTTTTTTACAATATCTATCATTGAATTTAATTTTTGGTTTGATCTTTTAGTGTATATTTCTTAAAAAAGGGTAATGCAGCCTCATTTAAATTCTTTTGTAAAACTTTCGACACAAGAATTAATAGTTTCCTTATCACAATTTACTGAACATATATCAACAATACGGTTTAATTTCGGCAGTTGGCTTATAAGATTACTTACCTACCGGCTCTTTTGTTAAAAGCGGTCTAGTAAATCACTGACCGACCGCTTAACAGGTGTGCAAATATATACAGGCCTGTTATTGTTCTATTGTTCTCTATACAATAGAAAATATGTGTAGTCGAGAAACTCGTGCATTACACAATATTCACCGTAAACGCAGACATTTTGAAAAATAACGCTGAATTGTACAAATTTATATGGGGTAGTGGGGGGAGGGGGTAATGACCGCTTTGAATAGGAAAAGGGTCGATGTATATTCAAAGTACATTTCATCAACTTGATAGAATTAATTAGCGCATATGGCTGTAAGGACCCTCATAACATAAATTCCAGATTATTTGTGACAAAAACGAACTAGTTACTTTTCTGGCATTTAAGTTTGTGTTTCGCCGAGATTTATGAGCACAATAATGCACATTTAGCCTTTCTTTATAGTTTGCCTTTTTTGTATACCTAACACATTCGCCGAATTATATAGCTTCACAAGTTTTCGGCATTTATTTCTACAACTGTGTCTGATTTTGCACAAACCTGCATTATTTCGCCAATTCTGCATTATGGGATATATACGACGATTGGTGCATAACGAATCAAAGTCAACTTCTGCATCCTTTCCCAAAATATTAGTGAGAGTATAGTTCATCTTAATGATAAAAAGACCTTTTTTCATTTTTTTCAGCTTTGGATTTTGTGTACCAGTACTCGCATGTTCTTTGCGCTTCCATTCTAGTCCGCGTGCTTATATGCAGTCTTATCAAACATATGAATAACGGATGATGCTAATTAAGAAGACACCGAAAGAAAATTCTTCCAAACATGAATGAAATACTAAGAATATTTGAAATCAGCCATCAGAAAAACAACAACAACCCAACTTACATGACGGTATATCTACATGCATTACTAATATTTATTCATTTACTTTCCATTGAAAAAATCGTATATTTTAATTTATTAGAAATGGCCGGATCATCTATTTACCATGAAATTTATTATATATACAGTAAAGATAAAGTGTTCCGTTTTTTTATGATTAGAAAACTTTTTTATCTTTCTCAATATTTGTATATATTAATAATATGTTATGTATTCATATATCAAAATAAAATAATTATCTTACTTTTGCCTACTCGACAAGTTCTGTTTTCATTTTCTGTGACTCAACTCAACAAGTACATTACCTGACCATATGACATAATGAAACCCCACGAGAAACACGAGAATATTCAAATAAAACCTCATTTGAGAACGAATGAATTACAAGAGCGTCGCGGATGGTATCTTTGCATGGCGTTGGAATGCTTTCTTAAACACGATAAAGTACATAGGTGAGTAATATTAATAAATACTGAGTTAAAAACTGATGTATGGATAGAAAAACAAAAGAGCATTTAGGTAAAATAGTTACCGCACTCGGAATAGGTCTGCATAGTATTTACAGACCCGACCTCGATCGCTACGCTGTCTCGGTCTTCAAATCGCCACCCGGGTCTGTAAATACTATGCAGACCTAGATGATGATGAGTCACGTGGTATTGAATAGACTCTCTAATATTTTAAAGTTTTCTCATCATATATGGAGTTTTTACGATAGTGAAATATGGACTTATATGTGCGAATGTTATAATGAGTAAAACATGCAGAACAAATAAAGCGAAACGGAAAGATAGAAGTAGTACGGATGATGAATTTTTGAATTTGTCGAAAATTTATAAACAAGCGGAAGGAGGCCCGTCAGAGGGACTTTATGAAGATAAAGCTTTTCAAACAGCATCTCTTAGAGTCAAATTTTAAGCACAACTAACAGTGTACTTTTTGATGAAATATAGAAAATCAGTCGTTATCTTATTCAAGTTCGACAGTAGATATTGGGAATATGAGTAAAACTGGGAAGAAAAGTGCTGAAAGCCCTCCGTCAGTTCATTCATCGCCTTCTAATGCTGATATATTTTTGTTTCTAAAGAAAATTGAAGATAAAATTGAAAATGTTGAATTGAAATTGAAAACGTTAGATAATTTGGAGAAGAAAGTTGATAACTTTTTGAAAAAGATTTAAAGAAAATGTGGCTTAATATTCATAAAAACAAAAGTGTACTGACGAAAAAATTAACAAGCTAGAAGAACGTGTTAAAGTTGTCGAATTCTCGGGCTCAAGCAATGATTCTAAAATAGAGGACCTTCAAAAATCAATATTGAATTAAAAAGTGAAATATCATATTTAAAACCGCAACAAATGAGAAATAACCTATTATTTAGAGGTGTTTCTGAAATTCCTAATGAGAAACCGGCGGACACGGACCAAATATTACGGAAGAATTTGTGCGACAATTTGAAGCTAGCGAAAGAAATTGAAGATGGAATAAAGACTGAGCGCGCACATCGCATAGGATCTCAGAGTAGTGACCCAAATAAACGATACAACCGTAATATAATATGTATGTTCTCATATTTCAAGGTTCGTGAACACGTCAGGAGGCAGCGTTATAATCTGAATGGAACAAGTTTCTACTTGCACGAACAGTTTACGTCAGAGGTTGTGAACAAACGCTGTAAAGAAAGCTAAGGATGAGCATAAAGAAGCCTGGATATCTTACGATATCTTACGATCATCTTGCCCAAGCGATAATTTGTTAAACGAATATTTTATCTCTACGGCAGATATACTCGTTGGGCATATTAGAGATTTATTCAATAATACTTTTGAATCTGGTCACTTTCCCGAAATTTGGTCTCAAGATTTTATAGTGCCATGACATAAAAAAGGTCCAAAAAATAATATTCACTGTTATACACTGTTATTAGTGAAAAATTGCTGTTATTCAATATCTGATTCATATTTATTAGAGCTTATTCTCCATATTGTATACACTGAAACATTAATTATTCTCTTGCATTTGAATACAAACCTTGACAAAATGTTTTATATGTATTACTAGTTGATGTATAACGATATACATGTAAATGTATAAGTTAAATAAAATTTTCTTCTTAAAAATTTGTTTTTCCTTTTCCTCGTACGGTAACTATTACTTTGTAAAGCAGCTTTGTTGCTTTCAGACCATACAATACTTCTTTTTACATACGGCTGTTGTACAGCGGGTGTATTAGAATTACATAATATATCAAATGACAATGCACAATTATGTGACCATTCACTAAAAGGTAAAACACTAAAATTATTGATAAACTGAAAATCTCGATCTTTTAATAATAAGTAGTCTATTACATTCGATCCTAGACTATTAAAAATGTAAAAGGACCGTTATGATCATTTCCTAGTCTACCGTTCGCAATCCTTAATGACGTAAATTTACACAGATCAATGAGTTTTAACCACATTATCCATTGAATTTCGGGTACATAACTGTCATCATCGATAAAATCTACAATCCCGTCATACAAAATAAAATACTTTTTTAACCACAAACAAGCATTCCAGTCACGAATCAACCATACTTGTCCTTGTATTTGAAATTCATTTATAGCACCTGGTCACCTAAATGCATCATTAGTTTAACAATAGGTCAGTACCAATTCTCTGTCCATTCAAATAGTCACACGTGTATCTAATACGTTTTAAATACAATTTTAAATTACTTAATCATGTATAAAATGTAAATAAGTTTTATTTTCCTTTTTTTAAATTAAATCGTGAAAGAAATAATAAAATTAAATATATTGGAAAAACCCGTATTTTTTGTATATATTTACTAATGTTAGTCTAAACTACTTTAATTTTCAAAAGATATAGATTAATTCTACAGGTAAAATTTATTTATTAAAAGATTAACAAAATATTCATAAAGACATTCACTTTTTGAATTAAGACATAAACTTACTTATAATACATTATTTGTTCAATTAATTAACTTTAATAGTTTTTAGGTTAAAGTTTATTGTTTATAAATAAGCATGTAAATCTCTTAAATTGTTTTACTTATTAGTTACAAAGGCTCAAAATATGAATTAACAACCATAATTAATTAAAATCAATGAATTTATTAAAATGAATTAATAAGAAATAATTAAATATTAATTTTTTTTCTCAAAGAATATCAAAATAAAATTTGTGTTAAACTTATCAACAGACACAGAATAATATGGGCGCGAACATTAGCAAGCCAGGGACCGTTAGACGTAAATACCGGGTAAGTAAACATTCATTGAACAGATTTTGACGTTTAATTTATAAAAAGAGAATGACAGTACTTTTACATTTTAGGTAGATTTATATTTTATTATAAACATTTTTCAATATCAACTGTCAGTCAAACCCTATTAAAATAGTCAAGCTTTTGAAATTTATAGTCAATTCAGCTCAACTTGACAATGAAAAAAGAGAATATAATGTCACTAAATTGTAGTAAATATGAATAGTGTATGACAATTACAATAATTATTATAATAATATGAAAAAGTTATTCTTTTTCTCATCCTAATGTAAAGATACCAAAGAAAGTACGTAAACTTTTCAAGAGGAAGGCAAAATACATTGTGATTGAGGTAAGATTTCCTATACATATATATTTATGTTTTCTATGGTATATGGAATATTACTTAAAGGAGTATTTCTTAATTTCTTACTTACAGTATACATATATATATATAATATAGTCATATACATGTATATTATTATATTTAACAAAAGGAAGAACAAAAAACATTAAACAAACAATAAAAACAACTCCCCCAAATAACTTCATCTGTGGGAGTTTATATTGTTTATTGTCTCATTTTGAATATCACGTTACAATATACATATTAAATTTTACATTACATTTACATGTAAAAACCAATCTGAAAAGTTTCATTGCTTTAAACATGATAAAATACTATCATACAGTTGACAAGAAAAATATTCCACTCGTCCTTTTGAGTAATAAGTTAAGCATAATCTTTTCACTTAACTCATCTTTTTAGGTTTCCGAAAATCTTACGACATTTTTCTCAGGTTTGATTTGATTGAAATATTTTGGATCATCTGGAGGCATGAAGCTTTTAACCATTCATATATGTACATGTATTTTACAGCATGACAAGGTTGATTCCGCTGTTCCATTTCTACCTGACGGCAATAAATCAAAGAAGGGTACCGATAAAAATGCTGTAAGTAATTTATATTGAAAATATTTGAAAATATTAATCGGTAAAAAGAAGATGGCTTAAAAATATTTATTTTTTACAATACTACACATAGAAAGCAAAATTTGTACAAAATCACGATGAAGTGGATTAAACCGGAAGCTCAAAGCTTATTGTAATTCTCTCCCCTTCTAGCAAGACATCGGTACAGATTTTGGCAATACAAATGATTTAATAAATTGTTACCTCCAAGATAATATATGTGAACATTATTATATGAAAATAAGACAAAATTAAAACAAAACAAAAAATTGGGAGAGCAACATAAAGAAGTGTTAAGGAGTTTAAATTTAGAAAGAAATCCGAGAAAAGAAGAAAATATGAGAAAAAATAAAGATAAAAAGTGAAAAATTATAAAATTTGGCGAACTGCAGAAAAAATAATTTGAAAGACACAATACAAAGCAAATATTAAATATTGGAAAAAAACAACAAAAAACAACAAAAAAAAAAACAACAACAAAAAACAACAACAACAACAAAAAAAAAACCCTAATGATTCCAAACACTTCTGTTGAATAAAAACCTTTCAATTTTATTATATCAAGTTCACAGTAGACAGTTAATTTATTTCTTTATACAGCAAAGGAGTGTATCAATAGAGACAACACTAGATGGAGATCTGGAACTATGCATAAATGGAGCTCATGAATATACCGACATGCCTTCAGACATTTCTGAATTGGAAGACGAGGTACACTTTCCTACATATACTGTTTGATTTCCTCCCAAGTTCTGTTTATGTTTAAAAGCCTTCAAGTGCAGGTTTATAACGTTTTCATTGTCAAGTTCTTAAAGAGAGCATTTCCCACTTTGTATTTTAACATTGTATATATCAAAGGAGATACGCATAGCCAACTCACAGCTGTATTTAAATATGATTGTAATATAAGTCTCTAGTCAACATTAAGCTTGTATGACCTTTGAAAAATGTTAGGACAACTGGTGGATATGTAAGTGCATTTTTCCACAGACACCCAAATGTTGGGAAACCTTTAACATTGTTTAAGTAATTACAGTTTTAGAGTAGAATATGATGTATGGTAAAAAACCCATCGAAGTTATTCTATTTTTTAAATCAAATGATGAATAAATCTATTACAACAATTTTGTTTTGATAAAAGATCGAATAATAAGAACGACTAAAAATAAAATATCATACTTTTGTTTTTCTCTTTACAGGGCAGTTTTGTTTCCATGGATACTTCGGGCAATGAACGAGTAAGAACATTTGCAATTTTTTGTGCTATGCTTTAATAAGCGAATAGAAAAATAATGTATTATACAAGAAAACCGGACATGATATCTACCTCTTGAAATAAAGATTTCATTTTTTTCACTTTATTTTATGTTATATTTCTATTACGTATTTACAATAATTATCTTCCTTGTCACCAAGACATCTCTCAATCTCTTAAGTCTAAAAACATACAGTTTAAAGTTTGCACTATTTGTAACATTTGTTTGAATTCTACCAACCATAACAATTCCGTTATTCAAATATCTGTAGTAGAAAGACTGATTTGTTTAAGATCATAACTTTATTCCTTTTATACAAAGTTTTTACTTGTTTATGTTAATCTAAATATTAAACCTTATCGGACCAGTTCAACCACAAGATTTAGGTTAGATAAAAGCGATATAAGCTTTACAATGGAATATGGGGTAAATACCCTTAATATATATTTCTCAATCTATTTTTAGGATCAGATTACTACTCCGGTTTCCCAAGTGGTAAGCATAACTATCTAAATATATCAGTATTTTTTACTGTAATAACATTAGTCTAATGATCACGTGACCACAACAGATAAAATATCTGTACAATGTTTGATATTACACTTTACGTTTGTAACGTCGCTTTTCATTGGATGATTGATTTATACACACTGCTGCTGTCAATATAATTATGAAGAAATCTCTTAAATTCGTAATGAATATTCTTGACAGGTTTTATGACCGTATAGAAACTGCTGTTTGAAATATAACCCTCGTCTAGCAGCTCAGGTTATATTTCCAAACAACGGTTTATATAGGGCTATATAACATGCCAAAAATATTTATAACTAAAATTACAACATTTTCTCCCCAGGAAAGTCTGTTTGACAGGAGGTCAATACATACATCAGATTCTGCACTAGACATACACTACAACACTGACACATCTGTCGACGATTGTCACCTTTGTAAGGCGAAAAATACGGAATACATGATACACGTATTCTTGCCAAAACTCCAAAGGCATCTTAATGTGAAAGAGATACTGCCATATCTTACCTATATAGGTATATATCCAGTGATTTCGGTTTAAATATATCCTCCGTTATAGAACAAAAATATTAACATAATATCCGATATTGAACAATACGGTGGCCAAGAATGATGGTATCAAAACTATATTCAAATGTGTTTAATTCTTTAAATCAACGTTTTGTTCCGATGTATTTTTTTTATTAAATATTTCCAATATCATGTTTATTTATTTCATGATTTAAACTACCTATATACAACAAGTATGTAGCAATAAAAGAATTAAAACACTGATAAAACACTGTAATGTTTTACAACATACATGAACATGTACATTACGTAACATTAGACGATTAACATTTATTCAAACTGTACACATCATTATGTTAAGCTAAAATAACCCATTCTTTATGAGGCATGTTGAAAGAATTCTTCAATTTGTTGGTTAACCTTGAAACAGTTAAAAGGTTAACATACATCTTGAAAATAATAATGTTTGATATAGAGTTATCAAACACTAAAGATATACTAAAGAAATGAAATCATGTAAACATTTTCAGATGAAAGTGATGCAAAGAACAATATTAACCACAGAGCCACATGAGCTAGCAGTTGAGAGGTTGATAGACACCATAGAGAATAATGTAGACCATGTTGATGGAGGAAAGTGGTTGATGTTTCTCGGGGCTTTGGAAGAGATAGGTAAATTTATAAGTGGTCTCGAGATTATAATGATATAATAGAGAAAAACGGAATTTTTAAAGAACGCCCAAAATCAGAAAAATTGAAAATGTTGCAATCTCGGTTTGATTGAATCTGTTCGTGGGCGGTACTTGGAAATGCAAGTTGGCGTCCACGCACCATGCAACCGGATTAAGCAGAATATAACATTGGTGAAATTGAATTCAGAAACATCCGCAGATCCTTTATCTAAACTATTTCTCGATTAGCAGGGTTTCATTGTTAACTGTACAGTTTACCAATCAAATACATTATGTTTGCGTTAAGGTATAGACCACGGACCCTGTTTATTCTTTCTTTATGTGAGATTCTCGGTGTTATTTTAGGATACAAGTGTTAATATTTTTAAAGTTATACGTACTAAGATGTACATGTATTTTCTCAAAATGAAAGAATAAACACTAACTAATGACTTAATTTCAGGTAATATTTACTTGCACCAGTTGTTGACTGGACAAACAGAAAAGGACCACCACTTCACTGCACAGATTCTTAAAGTTATGAAACCGAGCCTTATCAACAACATATACCTGAATGAGGTCATCGATCTACTCTTGGAGAAAGAGATCATAAATGTGGAGGACCAAGGTCAGATAGAAAGCGCGGAAAGAAACCAGGGATCATTCCATGCCGCCCGGATTATGCTTGAGAAGGTGGACAAGAGGATTCCAAACTGGTATACAGAATTCGCAGATGTTCTAAACAAGGCGGGGATGTCGGCAGTAGCAGATGCGTTTAAGATGATCGAACACCACGAACATATAAGACCAGACGGTAGAATAGTAAAATAATGATATAAATAGTGATACGTTCTTTTGATAATGTCTGTTAATTTCTCCAATTTCCTTAAGTCTTACATTTACATTTTCGTATTACAAATGAATTCATATTAGGTATTATTACGATACATTTTCTATTACATGAAAGATCCACATCTTTTTATACAACAAAAAGAATCCACTGTGTATCGCACTTCTATGATATATGTAAAAAGTTATATAGAAAGTGTTATAAGCAATTTCACAAGAGATATTTATTAACTTTTACAGTTGACGAAACGCCAGTGGAGAAACCACCAATTGTCAAACGCCTCAAACGGAAGTTCATGAATGGAAAACGAGGAAAATGTAATTTACACAATCGCGTAGGGTCTGCATGTTGCAACGCCATCACTCACGAGCCAAAATCAAAACGAATGAGAGCTGAAGCAAATGAAGACAAAGAAGAAGATGGCGGGACAACTAATATGGCTTTTTCGATGACATCCGTCAGGCAGCCTTTTGAAATGGAAATAGATGAGCTAAAGAAAGGAATGTCTGAGCTACAGAAAATCGGCTCGTCTGTGAGAATTATAGAACGTAACCAGAACGAGTTGATGAAAAAGATGGACTCACTGATAAATATGGTGAATAAATCCTCAGATGAACTGCTGCTGTTAAAGAAGCAAATACCTGGATAAGGTCCGATAGGGTTTACACCTTTAAAGATATATCATGGTCAAATTTGATATTTGTAAAACCTGATAATTACTATACAGGCTCTTTTGAATTGTGAAATAAATATGTTTTGAATTCACACAGAGAAAATATGTTACGTTTTAACTATACACACTACAATCACAGAATGATTACATAGTGATATAAAAACACAACAAACTTTTTATAAGAATATACCAAATTAATTTGACAAGTAATACAAACTTTTTTTCCATTTTATACATTCACTTATTCAAATTAGACATATTCAGGAATAATTTACTAGATTTCAACAAATTACTGCACCAAAAGTATTTTACCCAAGGCAGAGCATAGTATACCTTTAAAGTCGCAAGTACAATTGTCAACTCATTCTTTTGTATTTGCTTTTCAATATTGGATTATTAACAATATTGGATTTTTGATAATTTATCAAAGACAAAGAATTTCAATTTCTCTTTTATGTCTTTTGTTTTATTGTTATATCTTATTTCAGTTCATTGCGACTTTTATGTGCAACTAATCTGTACAAATGCATAACATTCCTAAATGTATACTCGTAACTTGATTATATCACTGTTAAATATAGATCTAGTTTAAATTTGATCTTGTAAAAGTATGAATCGTCTAGTTCCCGTTTTTGATAAAACCTTTATTTCAAATTTATCTCATGCAGACGACTGTTGTCAAAATAATCTTGATTTCATCTTGTTCTTCAGATTTTGAATATTTTTATTATTTGTTTGTTAAATTGTTTTATTTTATTCAATGAAAGTTTCATGTGTTAACATGATCATGTGACATGTTATATTGTATCAAATATGTATGTGTATCTATTCGCACGACGAATAATTATGTACAAGTCTCAAATAAATGTCTTTGTTCTGTTCTGATCTCATCGATATTTTTACATCAATACAATGTACTAGTCATAATCAAACTATTTGTTTTGTTTTATTGTTATTATCTTTATCTTTGCTTTTCGCTTCGTTTGGTTTTGCTAGTTACAATGTATTGATCGCTTTTGTTCTTATTTTGGTGACTTTAATCTTGTTTTCAAAGTGGGTTGTCATGCATCCACGTGGATGGAATTTGTTCATCGAATTGACACGTGATTTACATTATTCTTTGTCCTGCTATGCTTGTAATTATGGTTGCACCGGCAAAGAGATCGGGATCAGGATCAAATGATCCTAATTTTATTTAATTTGTTATATAAAAGAAAAGAAAAAAAGAAAAAAAAAAGAAAATTGATTGTATTTTGCTAATGTAATTAAATGGTACATAAACAAAATTTAAAACATTACTGACTTGCAAGGAAACAACAATATTTTGGGATAAAATCGACAAATAACAATACAAATATATAAATTAATGGGATAAAAACAGGAATCAAGATGAATGTTTGGAACAAGCATAAAATGCACATATAAAAAACAATAGATTTATTCTTGAATGTCAAGTCCAGTTTTATTGAGTTAATATTAAATATTTAATCACTGAAGATGAACAATGGAGTTTATTTGAGTTTTATATTTGGTCCTCAACTTGATGCTGATCCTTAAATCTTAGTGAACACGAGACCAGGTAATAATTATATCATGCTAATTCTATATATTTAAATAAATATGTACCTTTATCTATCACACTACTTCCCTTGTTTTCCATGTAATGTGCCATGTATCGTATTTCTTTATATTACATTTGTGTGTTGTAGCGTCACTTTTGTACTATGTTAAGCGTGTGATTGCAAATGAAAATAAAATTGTAATTGAATTGTTTTTTTTATGTTCAGTCTTGTTAAAAAACTCTGATTTTCATTGTCAATTGATATAAACTTTTATGAAACTCGTCCAGGAAAAAATACTTATCACACCAGAAACTCGTTTGAGAACATACTCCTGAACTAGTTGAATTACAGTTTATATTCAGTCAGTCCTTTATGTATATTAGTTTGATATGTTGATTTATAATGTTGATAAATTTACTTTTTTTAATATTGGTTTCTTTTATTTGTGTACATGTTTAGTATAAAAGTGTTATTGGCTCATTTCGTAAATGAATAAAGTATATATGTATATTCTGTTCTGTATTGGTTTGTTCTGACAAAAGACCAGATTAGTTTTAACAAATTTATTTTAATTCGATTGTGTTAGAAGCTTTATGCTGATTGAAACGATATCAAATCAACCAGTACTAAACAATGAATTTAAAGTTTTTGCTTAAGGAAACAACGGCTTGACCCTGACAGGGTTTGAACCTTGAAACCCACGCGGTCAGCAATCCTTGGATTACTAGTCCGACGCGTTAACCACTCGCACACGCCGCCAGACCAGATTGACGACAGATATTTATCAGAGACAACTTGTAATCATGATCATATTCACTTTAATTTCTATTATACATAGCCATTATATTTAGTATAAGTATCTTACCTATTACCATTGTACAATCACTTTGTGGCTAACAGCTTGCCTTTCCGGGTTAAGATATCAGAAATGCAGCCACCATTTATCCCTGTGTGATCGTATTAGGCGACTAATTGGTCCGAATTACTGGAGTCTATGCATCTGTCAGCTCTCCAGCAGGTGAGTTGGTTTTGATCCTTGGTGTTGCTTTATAACACCCGAGGTTTGCCAAAATCATTTTTCCTGTCTCGGCGCCATATGACCTAAATTGCGTTGATGTTCCTTAAAACAAACAAACATTGTACATAGATTAGGTACACATTCATAAGCTTAAATGTGTTCTCGATCAATTTCCTTTGTAATTTGTATCATTTATTACCATAATTTTGAGTTAGGACATACATATCTGCG